GTCACCAAAATGAACATTTAAAAACATAACAAGAAGGCCCAGCATGAATGGCTCACGCCTGTAATCCCAGCACTTTGGGAGGCCGAGGCAGGAGCATCACTTGAGCCCAGGAGTTTGAGACCAGCCTGAGCAAGAGCGAGACCCCATCTCTACAAAAAATAGAAAAATCAGTGGGACGTGGTGGCATGCGCCTATAGTTCCAGCTACTTGGGAGGCTGAGGCAGGAGGATCACTTGAGCCCAGGAGTTTGAAGTTGCTGTGGGCTATGATGATGCCACTGCACTCCAGCCCAGGCAACAGAGCAAGACTCTTAAAAAACAAACAAACAAAAAACAAAACAAATAACCCTAACAAATAAATTGTAATGCTAGATGTAAAAATATCTTGATATAAAATGTTAATGATGCATACCCTATTCCTATAGAAGATTTATAGCAGCTTGAAATATGAAACCATATCCATAGCAGGCTAATTATCTTTTTAAAAATATTAAACACAGAAGCACCAGGCAGTTGGAATGGGCCATTTATGAAAGCTAAACTCAAAATGTGGCTCTGAGTTTCCTGTGAGAAATTTTATAAGATATGGCTTTTCTGTCAAGTAAAAGGAAAAAACATTTCATCTGGGGAAAGAGTCCTCTTCTGGTATTGAATTCTATTAAAGATTTTATAATGTACACCCCTGTATTCAAACAACACTAGATAACTAGGTTTGAAGGTACAGAATCGTTAATTCAGTCTCAATGTAATTAAAGTCTTTTTCAGGACATTTACAAAGCATGATACACAGTGTATTTCTCTACAGAGAATTTATAAGTCCTCTACACTCTCTTAATAGATCAAATATGTAGAATCATATTTAAGATGTTAGGAGTAAGACAGAATGTGACATCTTTAACCAGAATTTATTTTTCTATAGTTTAGATTTTCATGAAAAAATTGTTCACTTACTTCTTTCAATATCTCCTCGGAATGTTCAGAAGTACAATATTTATAGTGTGCCATAAAGTAAGAAAGTGACATTCCACCAAAATAAAGATGAATGGATAATTTCTCCCAGGGATTTTTTGGCAATTCCTATTTAAGTTCAATAAAGAAGATTATTATAAAAATAAAGTCTATTTGATGACTAAAATTTTACAGTCAACAAATATGAAATTAGGCTTCTGACAAT